GACAGGTGAACAATGCCAAACGTTGCCATCAGAGGGCGCAACATGTTCGCCAGCCTCAGTGGTGATGTCGTCGTTGACGTCATAGTCCCGAAATTTGCCATCAGGAGCGCATTGTAAGGCCACCATGACAGGTGGCCATGATGTAATAGTACCAACATTAGCCAACAGAGGGCGCGTCGTTAAAGTGGCATTGCTAGGCCGCCATGACAGGCGGCTATAATGGATGATTACGTAATAGTACAACAAAGTAGAGGATGACTCATACAATACATGTATCAAAATGTCTGTAATTAATCACTAATTCATTAATTAATTAAATAAAATATATTTAAATTATCCTATAAAAGATGCTTAACTCTAGTTAATTCAATCATTTATAATTAATTCATCAAATCATTTATAATTAAGTTATCCTAAAAGGGCCGTTTAATTCTAATTCGTTAGTTAATTAAAACAATTATAACTAAATCAAGTCTTGAGAAAGGACTCTTAACATTAATTCAACAGTTAATTAAATCATCTACAATTAATTTGTTATAAAAGGATGCTTATAATTAAATTAATTACATTTCCTTACCAGTTAAATAGCCCTAAAAGGTCAATGAAGTGATTAAAGATTTTCAGTAACTTGAATATAATTAAAAGATTTTGACACAATAATTCTTTTTAATAATTTATTAATTTTCTCAATTTTGCAATCTGATCTACGTTCACGTCTATTAAGGATGTACTTAAATAAAAACGTCAATTAATTAGTTGGATAACTGTCTGTTTTATCAAATCAGAACATATTGCTAGACCATCGACGAAACAGAGAACATATTGCTAGGCCACCGTTACAAGCGGCCGTGATACATAATTATAGGTTTAAATCACTCTAAAAAGGGTGATATTGTTGCGCCAGCGAGGTCATGTGACTAGCATCACGCCACGTCCTTCTCGAACCTTCGTGAATTGCCAGATACTACTAGATTGGGGGTAGTGTGGTATATATATATAAGCCGGTCACAACGTGACAGGCGTGTGTGTGTAATTGAACTGAGTATTGTTGAAGTCGAGTACATGAGACGTTCGTTGAGAATTATAGCGTTTGTTATAGCGCGACTGTTGAAATTAAGTGTATCGCAAAGTTATATTCAGAAAGAATAAACCACTTTTATTTAAGAAAGGACTTGTGTCGCTAATGTTTCGTCGGAACGAATTTACGGAAAATTAACTAACGAACGGAAACGTAACAATATTATGTTTTAATTAAAATTTACACTTTTACTAATTTGACTTCATACAACAATTTACAATGTCAATAAAACGTTTATTGTGTATTAACACTTTCACTAGTTTGACTTTATGTTTGACAAAATATTTCATATTACAAATGGTATTTTATCTAACACAAGTTTTACAAAGGTGGACTTCCACATATGAACAATATCAAAAACATTATTTAACGTAACATGTTAACATTTGTTTGAATGAGATCACAACTTACATTTATTAAAATAAAAGTTAATTATAACACCCTGTCGCTATCTACATATTTACAATATATTTAAGATTTACAAAACTTTTATTAAAATTAAGTTAATTATAATACATTGTCGCTATCTACGTATTTAGAATGAATTTAATGTTTATGGGAACATTTTTATTCAACTAAAAGTCAATTATAATACATTGTCGCTATCTAGGTATTTACAATATACTTAAAATAGATGGTTCACTTTATAAAACTGTAAATATATATCAGTTAAATACAATTTTTGTATTTAATGAAACTGTACGTTTCTAAAATGTAATTATCGATGATAAAACATTGTCACTATCTATGTAAATTCATTACATAGTGATACAAAACAATGTGTATTCTCGGGACATTTCAATTAGCATACATCAAAGACAGAACAAATGTTTTGTTTGCGTAAACATTTCCATCAGGATTTGTTACACTGACAATCAATATCATAACAATTACACACAGAACATACAAATTGTCTAAAATATTTTGGGGAACATCCATCAATGATAGACTTAAGAAAGTCGTCGTACGTTTAGATTGAGTACACGTTTTTTTGTAGGTCTGTACAAGGAGGAAACTCCGATTAACTTGGCATTTCTCTGCTACTTTTACTTAGACTGAGACCTCGAGGATGTCATCAAACGCCTGGTCCCTAACGTTTTTTGTTTTTTTTTCACTGGTAGAAATAATACTGTAGTGACAATTTGTTCACCAATTAACCTTCGAAAGACATTAGTGATCACAAAACTAATATACAGTGTTTCCTTTCTCTACTCGTTACATTTTATTTGTTTATGTAAAAACTTAGATAACTGTAACTTAAGTAGAAACATGTGATAATGTGATATGACTTATTCCTGTTACTAGAGTGAACTTTACTAAATATCGTAAATCTTATAACAACACTAATTTATACACTAACTTGTACAGAAGCTAATTTAACCCTGGTAATTCATACGTATTGTGTTATATCAAACGTTACTGAGTTGTCAGAGGAATTTGTCCCTCAGATAGAAACTGTCCAAATTGTAAGATGGACAATACTGATATTTCTTTACTTGTCTAAACTATTACACCTTCAAGAAGTTAAACTACGTATATATCTTTGTGTGTAATATTTAAACGACAAATATGTGAGTTCTAGATCAAAAACAGAAAGTAGTAACGTAGAAGTAGAAAATAATTTCCTATTGTAACATCAAATATTGTGAATATACATTTAGTTTTCTGTAATGTTATGCAAATTGTAAGAATATATAAAGTTGTTTTGATAAATAAAACATTCTCAGAGTTAATGTCAATTGTCAGAGTCTGTTGTAGTTGCAAAGTTTATTCTTTAATGATACACAGGAAAACTATGTAGGTGTGATACTTTACAAGTCATTACTTACATATATTGAAGATAACACATCAGTTTTAAAGCTGTAGAGGAGTGGTATGTGAAGGTCAGCGCAACGAGGGACAGGCAGTTTAGTTTTCAAATGTATGAAATATTTTGTATAGTTTCTAAAATCACAATGAAACTTTGATTAATTGCCTCTTACGTTTCATTTACAGTAACTAATAATGTACTTGAACAAGTATATACGGCAGGTATTATTATGTTACGACAGCGGAAGTCACGCGACGCTTGGAGCATGCGCGCTGGAGTTTCTAGAAGGATCGTGACTTATCGGGCAACCTCACGAATATCCCAGCGTTTGCTAGACGCCCTCTTTTTTAGTATATAAGCCGAAGATAGATTGAAGAAAAATAATTAATAATTGAGTTAAGCGAACAGTAGGCACCGTAAGTAAAGTGTGTGAATCGCTAT